CATTGACTTCTGATTACATCCATAACTTCTCTGTCCATGGTCAGAGGCCATATGGTAGACTTTGTGTGTGTGTGTGTGTGTGTGTGTGTGTGTGTGTGTGTGGTAAAATATATAAAATAAAACATTTGCCATTTTAACCATTTTTTATAATTCAATGACATTAATTACATTCACCATGCTATGCAACCATCACCACTATCCATTTCCAAATGTTTTTTATCCCTCTAGACAGAAACTCAGTACCCCTTGAGCAATAACTCTTCCTTTCCTCCTCCCCACCAAGCCATGGTAACCACTAATAAACTCCTGTCTGTATGCATTTGCCTATTCTAGATATTTCATCTAAATGGAGTCATACAATATTTGTCCTTTTCTGTCTGACTTATTTCAACTCAGCATGTTTTCAAGGTGCAGCCATGTTGTAGCATGTATCGAAACTTCATTTCTCTTTAAGGATGAATAATATTCCATTGTATGGATATACCACATTTGTTTATCTATTCATCTGTTGATGGACACTTGAGTTGTTTCTACCTTTTGGCTCTTGTGAATAATGTTGCAAGGAACATTGGTGTACAAGTATCTGTTTGAGTCTCTGCTTTCAAGTCTTTTTGATATATATACCTGGGAGTGGAATTGCTGGGTCATGTGATAATTCCAGAAACCCTGGTGGCATAGTGGTTAAGAGCTATGGCTGCTAACCAAAAGGTCAGCAGTTCGAATCCACCAGGCACTCATTGTAAACCCTGTGGGGCAGTTCTGCTCTGTCCTATAGGGTTGCTAAGAGTCGGAATCGACTCGACTGCAACGGGTTTATGTTTTATGGTAGTTCTATGTTTGGCTTTTTGAGGAACCTCCAAACTGTTTTCCCCAGTGACTGCACATTTTGCATTCCTACCAGCAATGGATGAGGCTTCCAATTTCTTCAGATCCTCGCCAACACTTATTTTTCATTTTTCTGATAATAACCATCCTAGTGGGGGTGAAGTGGTATCTCACTGTGGTTTTGAGTTAGATTTCCCTTATGACTAACGATACTAAGCAACTTTTCATGTGCTTGTTGGCCATTTATATTCCTTCTTTGGAAAAATGTCTATTTAAGTCCTTTGCCCCCCCCCCCTTTTTTTTTTTTTTGAATTGGGTTGTTTCTCTTTTTGTGGTTAAATTGTAAAAGTTCTTTATATTTTCGGATATTAAACCCTTATCAGATATATGGTTATCAAATATTTTCTCCCATTCTGTGGATGTCTCTTCACTTTCTTGATAAAGTCCTTTGATGCACAAAAGCTTTTCATTTTGATGAAGTCTAATTTTTCTTGTCTTGTATTGTTCGTGCTTTTGTCATATCCAAGAATCCATTGTTGAAAACTAGGTCTCAAAGCATTATGTTTTCTTTTAAGCATTTTATTATTTTTGTTCTTATATTTACATCATTGATCCATTTTGAGATAATTTGCACATATGGTCTGAGGTATGGGTTGAACTTTATTCTTTTGTATATGGAGATCCAGTTGTGTCAGCACTATTTATTAAAGAGACTATTCTTTCCCCCACTGAATGGGCATGGCACCCTCATCGTTAATCAGCTGACCATAGATGTATGGATTTATTTCTGGACTCTCAATTTTGTTCCATTGGTCTATATGTCTGTCATGGTACTGTCCCAATACCAGACTGTTTTGATTACTGTAGCTTTACAGTATATTTTGAAAATGGGGAATGTGAGATCTCCTACTTTGTTCTTCTTTTTCAAGATTGCTTTAGCTATTCAAGGCCCCCTTACAAATCCATATGAATTTGAGAATTGGCTTTTCCATTTCTGCAAAAAAAGTTGCTGGAATTTTGATAGGGATTGCATTGAATCTATAGGTCCTTTTGAGTAGTACTGACATCATACCAACATTAAGTTTTCCACTCCATGAATACAGGATGTCTTTCTATTTATGTAGGCCTTCTTTAATTTCCTTCAGCAATAATTTACAGTTTTCAGTGAACAAGTCTTTCGTGCTGAACTTTTTATAGTAGACATATATCTGGCAATACAGAGTAATAATGAAGAAATATATAAAATTCAAGAAAAAAAAGGAAATAACAGGCAAATATATCTTGATGAATAGCCTCCTAATAGTATTTGATTCAGCAGATATGTTCAACTTTTACCTGCCTCATTTAACCTACAGCATTGACCTTCATTTGTGAATTAAGCTGACTTACATTGCATCTTTAAAAATTCCTATTACGAACACTGATTCCAGTTGCTCCATTAAGCTTAAATTGCTTAATATGGTTTTTTTAATTGGAATTTCTCCCTACAAATTTAGTAATAATAATTTTTAAAATGGGTAAATCCTTGCTTTACAATAATGTCTGTAAATGGACCTTTCGCATATCCACACCTTAACTGCCCAAGGTTCTTGGACACTAATAGCCTCAGATAGGCTCTGAGCCCCTCTCATGTTTGGCAAACAGTACTGGTTTATGAGAGCAATTAAGATATCACTGAAACTATCGCTCATTATTCTCTTGGACTAGATTTTTCCTTATGTGGGCAGCTATAATCTATCATTTTTTTTTTTTTATTACTAGCTTAATCGAAAGTGTCGTATAAAAATTCCTCTGTGGGAGAAACTATTTTGTTCAGTAAACCTTCATCTAAAGTGAGAATAGCAGCACAATTGGAAGAGCGTAGTCGATGTCACTGAACTGTGCATGTATAAATTTTTGAAATGGTGTATCTTTGGCTATGTATATTTGCACCAAAAAAGAAAAAGGTCGAGAAGGGAGAGGGCTGACATGTTGTGGGGTTGTTAACCAATGTCATAAAACAATATGTGTACTACTGTTTCATGAGAATCTATTTGTTCTGTAAACGTTCACCTGAAATACCATAAAAAAATTAAAGAAAAAAAAAGAAATAAAAAAAAATTCCTCTGTGGTATGAATAAATGGACAGATATTTGATAAAACAAATGCAGTAACATTTTAATTGTAGAATCTAGGAAGTGGGTATATGGGTGCTCACTGTACAATTTTTTCAACTTTTATATTTGAAAAATTTTACAGTAAAATGTTACAGAAAAATCTCTCTTGTAAATTCATTATTTATTCTACAGATATTTATGGCTCCCTACTATATACCAAGATCCTAGGTGGCTCTAATGGTTAAACACTCAACTACTAACCGAAAGGATGGCAGTTGTAACTCACCCAGAGATGTCTCAGGAGAAAGGCCTGGCAACCTGCTTTTGAAAGGTCACAGCCTTGAAAAGACTACATGGGACAGTTCTATTTTGCACACATGGAGTCACCAGGAGTCAGAATTAATTCAACGGCAACTGGTTTGGTTTACTATATATCAGGCACTGAGGTACACTCTGCTACAAAAGGAGCAAACAGTTTAATGCATCAATCCTGAGGAGTTGCTTACGTAACTCAAAGCTGAGGATTGGATATTCTTTCAGCGGAGAGAGGAAAACCCCTATGACCCTCCCCGGCCTGGAAAGCCCCTAGTTATGCACCAGTTGATAGTGCACCAATCAAGGACTGCCAAATGGATTTGAAAGCCAATAAGAGAACACAGCCCCCCACCAATTCCCACCACCCCGCATTTCTTCCAAAAATCCTACCCTAAGAGAAAACCCCACCCTAATAGAACATTGACCAAAGACTGTCTTAAGACTTCTTCCTTTAGAAAACTCACTCTCCTTTCAAATCCCTTTGAGTGTCTACCCAAAGGAACCAGTGTAGTTGACTCCCTTGCTATAGTAAGCTCTGAATAAACATCTTCAGGTGATCTTCATCCTTTTGATAATCTTCAACTATGGTTTTCAACATGGTCAACTAAAATCAGTTGTGACAACACTTCGAAAACAAACACAGTACGTACATTTGTTTTTCTGTATAATCCCACTCCCCTTTGTATTCCAATCTGCTTTAAGAGAGAAGGAGATGAAGTTCCAGGTAGCTTGCATAGAAGGGCAGGCACCTAACATGCATCCTTGGGAATGTCTTGCTTAGAAGGTGAGCTGTAATGTGTGTCTCCTGGGGGATGGGGGACATTGAGAACCACTGAGTATTTACATGTAATTCAGCTTTAACTCAGTATCAGTGTGTTAGCAAACTCTGTGCCTCCCCCAAAGTAAAGGACAAAGATGTGGGCACAGTAATGGTGGCATGTGGGCTGTATGTTTACATTGGGCCACAGTGGCTGGAATATTTCAGCGTGACTAAGCCACTCAAAGGGACCTAATAAAAATGATGGTATTTGTCCTATTTTGGTGAGTAGTGTCTGGGGACTTAAACAGCTTGTGATCAGCTATCAAAGATACTTCACTGGCCCCAACCCATATGGAGCAAGGGAGAATGAAGAAAACCAAAGATACAAGGGAAAGATTAGTCCAAAGGACTAATGGACCACAGCCTCCACTAGATTAAGTCCAGCACAATTAGATGGTGCCCGGCTATCACTGCCGACTGCTCTGACAGGGATCACAATAGAGGATCTCAGACACAGCTGGAGAAAAATGTAGAACAAAATTCTAACTCACAAAAAAAGACCAGACTTACTGGTCTGACAGAGACTGGAAAAACCCCAAAAGTATGGCTCCCGAACACCCTTTCAGCTCAGTAATGAAATCACTCCTGAGGGTCACCCTTCAGCGAAAGATTAGACAGGCCCATGAAACAAAACGAGACTAAAGGGGCACACCAGCCCAGGGGCAAGGACTACAAGGCAAGAGGAGACAGGAAAGCTGGTAATGGGGATCCCAAGGTCGAGAAAGGGAGAGTGTTGACACGTCATGGGGTTGGCAACCAATGTCACAAAACGATATGTGTATTAATTGTTTAACAAGAAACTAATTTGCTCTGTTAACCTTCATCTAAAGCACAGTAAAAAAAAAAAAAAAAAAACATTGTATTTGTCCATCTATCTTATTCAATCCTCCCATCCCACCTGACTAAACACTCACATATTCATTCTTCGAGGCTAATTCAAGTCTCACCTCACTCACAATGCCTTCCCTCTTCGTCCCTAACCAAATTGATTACCTTCTCCATCTTGAAAGTCTCAAGTTATAAACCCTGGGAAAAAGAAAGAAACAATCTGTTGTAAAGTCTTGCTGAAAATGGAGAGGAATATGATTAACGATCCTTGCAGGGATATGCCCTCCACATTTTAATTTTGAAGATGACAGCTAGCATGGCACATGGCACTGCCCAATTTCTTTCTCTTCCACACCCCATCAGATTTTTCAGCTTTGACACAGAATTGTTGCCTTGCTTCCTATGTCCTTCCCCTCCAGATTACCTAATAGAGATTTGTAAACTATCACTTAACTCTGAATCAGCAGAGCTTATGCAAAAGGGAAAACCTAGCAACCATAATATCCAGACAATAGGATATTGGATCTTGAAGTTTCGGGGTTGGTATGAGACAATGAAATCTAATAGTAGATATCAGCTTCATACAATAAACACTTTTTTTTACTGCATGTTAATCATATCTGAATGATTTGTAAGATAATGAGTGCCTCATCTTTAGACGTATAACAGAAGGAGCCTAAATGAGACCTTTAGGATGTTTCCATTGGGTGGAAAGTTGGAAAAAAAGTGACTTCTGAAATCTTTCCAATATGAAATTTCTAGCAAAGTTTTTAAGATAGGATCTAAATAGATAAAAAGAATACAAGAAAGAAAAAAGGCGAGAGAAAACAAACTTCCAGCTAGTGGCAGGGTTGCAAAAGGATGACTCCACAGTGAGCCCATAGGTTTGGTGTCTGTTACATGTAAACTCCTAGGATAAGAACTTTGGACTTGTGACACAACTGGGCACTACATGCAGCCTCTCTCTGGCTTTATGTAAATAGACTTTTGACCTGTTGCCTATGACACTATCAAGGAGTGTTCGTACAGACCCAGCCAGACAGCTGTGTCAGGCACAGCACAGAGCCACCTGATGCCTCAGAGGCTGCTCTCAGCCTCAAGTTCCAATCATCTCTAGTCTCGTCAGGACTGAGGGGCCTGTGGTCCAAAGGGCGATTCAAGGATTCTCAGGTACTGGGGAGGTGGGTGGGGACAGCAGTCCGAGGGCTTCTCCGTCCCAGACCCCTTTGACAATCTCATGAATTTTCTCCCTCCCAAACTCACGTTATCATCCAAATGAACCTTCTCTTCCTCACAAAAATGGAAGTACATGTAAAACTGTGCCTATAAAACAAAACAAAAAAGCCGATTTCAATTCTGCTCAAAAGTAAACTTGAATGAGAAAGCCGCGATTGTTGGCCTTGAAAAAGAAAAGAAAATTGTATATTGATTTTTGATACCTAATCATGTTGGCTTATATTTCCTATGGCAACAGATGTTGCAAGTATTGACTACAGAGGAAACCACAGGCACCACAATTTGCCTGACTGTGATGGGTGTGGCAGACACTGCTAGTTGTTTAGGTAATATCGCATCTCTATTTCATCCTCATTAAGTGAATCGCAATTTTTACAGGAATAGCCATGTGCCCAGCTTAAAAAAGAAAACTATATTTACCAGACTCTTTGGCAGCTAAATGTGGCTGTAGGACACGCTTCAGGGCACCAAGATATAAGCAGAATTTGGTTGAAGTTTCTGGAAACGTTGCAAGTCCTAATATAGCCACTTATCCATCCCCCTTCATCTTTCCTCTTCTTCATTCCTGGAACAAGAACACAATCCTTAGATGTTCAGTAGCTACTCACAAAGGACAGGAAAGCAGAAAGGTACAATGAGCCTGTTGCTGGAGAAGCTGCATTGAACCCTGAGATGATGATCTCCATACGCACTGCAAGAAAAATAAACCCCTTAAGCCTTGAACTGAAACTATCCCCAGAGGTCACCTTTTAGCTAAATAACAGATTGGCTCATAAAATAAAGAATATCACCTGTGAGCACTGCGCTTCTTTAAAAAATCATCTACAAGACCAAATAGTCAACAATTACTCTAACAGATAAAGAGAAGATGGTAATAGGGAAGATAAACTACATTATTGGAAATGGAACAACCTGAAAGAAATAATAAAAATGTTGACACTTTGTGGAAAATGTAACCAATGTTACTGAACAATTTATGTAGAAATTGTTCAATGGGAACCTAATTTGCTGTGCGAACTTTCACCAAAAATACAATATTATTAAAAAAAAAAAATATGGTTGGCATCATTGAGACCAAAAACATTCCTCTGACATGTGAAGAATCTAATAAAGCTTATTTCAGAAAAATAAAAATAAAAAAGCTTATTTGCTTAAGCAGTGTCAAAGTTTCTGTTACTCTCAACTGTCTGTAGGTGGCAACCATTTTGTGACCATGAAGCACCAAACCTAAGGGCAAAAAGTAAACATCCTGCAGATATTGAAGCAGAAGGAAAGAAAGGGCATGGGACCCCGTGACATTGACCAGTCACCCAGCCAGAGGCATTGGACCCCATGACATTGACCGGTCACCCAGCTAGGGGCATGGGACCTTGTGACATTGACCAGACACCCAGTCAATCTGGGAACACCTACCTCTGAACACCTTAGGTATATTTCTTAGCTTCCTGTGGCTGCTGTAACAAAGTACCACAGATTAGGTGGCTTAAAACAACAGAAATTTATTCTCTCATAGTCCTGATGGCTTGTTATTGTTGTCAGTTGCACTCGAGTCAATTTTGACTCAAGGCGATCCCATGTGTGCAGAGTAGAACTGTGCTCCACAGGGTTTTCAAGGCTGTGACCTTTCTGAAGTAAATCACCAGGGCTGTCTTCCGAGGCACTCTGGGTGGGTTCAAACTGCCAGTCTTTGGGCTAGTAATCAAGCACTTAACCATGTGTGCCACCCAGGGGCTCCTAATCCTGGAGGCTAGAAAGTCTGAAATGGAGGTGTGTGGAAGGCCCTGCTCTCTCTGAAGGCACTAGGGGAGAATCCCTTCAAGCCTCTCCCAGCTTCTGGTGGCTCCTGGTGTTCCTTGGCTTGTGGTAGCATCACTCTAATCTCTGCCTCTGTCTTCACATGGCCATCTTCTTTCTGAGTCTGTCTCTCTGTGTCTCTTCTCCTCTCTTTATAAGGACACCAGTCATATTGGATTAGGGCCCACCCTACTCTGGTATGATCTCATGTTAACTGATTACATCTGAAAAGACCCTATTTCCAAATAAGTCACTTTCACAGGTAACCGGGGTGAGGACGTCAACGTATCATTCTGGATGACAAAATTCGAACCATAACAGTGTACAATAAACGTCTTTTCTTAAAAGGCAAGCAGGAAATTGTTTCCCTCAGCTCTTGGAGTGTAAAAGAATGCACGCTGACACAGGCAAGGACTGGGACCTACAAAATCATAGGAGTTCTACAATAGTTTAGCTTAACTAATAAAGGATGTCTGCCTTGAGCATTGTGCTCTTTTAAGAACAATCTATATGGGACCAAATTGACAATAGCAACTCAAAAGATCAGATAGGAAACGGTCTTAGTTATCTAGTGCCAGTATAACAGAAATATCACAAGTAGATGGCTTTAACAAACAGAAATTTATTTTCTCACAGTTTAGGAGGCTAGAGAAGTCCAAATTCAGGGTGCTGGCTCTAGGGGAAGGCTTTCTCTCTCTGTGGGCTCTAGAGGAAGGTCTTTGCCTCTTTTGAGCTTCTGCTCCTGGGCAATCTTCATGAAGCCTGGCATCTCTCCTTCCCTGTCTCTGCTTCCTTATCTGCTCTTTTTGTATCTTGTAAGAGAGTGACTCAAAACACACCCTACACTAATCCTGTCTCATTAACGTAACAAAGACAACCCATTACCGAATGGGATTATAATCACAGGCATAGAGGTTAGGATTTACAACACATATTTTTTTGGGACACAATTAAATCCATAACATTACACCCTTTGGCCCCCAAAATTCATGTCCTTGTCACATGCAAAACACAATTCACCCCATCACAGAAATTTAGGTGGCAGTAAATTCATGTCAATGGGAGAGGAACAATTTGGAAAAGGAGGGTGAAAATGGTTGCACAATTTGAAGACACTAATCAATGTCACTGAATTGTACATGTAGAAACTGTTGAATTGCTGTATGTTCTGCTGTTTATATTCTCAACAACAACAAAAATAAAAATAAATTAAAAAAAATAGGGGTTCTAAAATGTCATCTATGTCATTGAGTTGTAAATGTGGAAGTTGTTGTGTTGGCTAGTATTTTGGTGGGTATGTTTTCACCACAATAAAAAAAGAGAGAGAGAAAAATCATGGGGGTTCTACAGACGTAACAAAAAGAAACTCAAGAACAATGCCACAGTAACAGCCAAATCTATGAATAACCAGCCAAAACCTTAGCAGGTCAGTCCATGGAAACAGTTACCTGGCCAAGTGAGAACCAGCTAGAATAATGCCACAGCTCCTCAGCCTTGGGCTCCATTTGAAATGAATGCTAGACTAGCCTGGAAGGAATTTCAAAACTTCCCCTGCGTTGAGTAAGTGCCTACTTATCCTACAGGCCCAGCTAGAAAGATCAAGGAAACCATGAGAAAAGTTCCTTGTATTTACACAGCCAACCTATCTCTGGAGAGATTGATGATTTCATTTTGTTTTTAATAATAATTCATCGTTGCTATATTCTAGGGGGAAGATGGAGGGATAAGGGATAATTACTGCCATTCTAGAGAGGGGAAAAGATAGAACATGAAATGTCAAAAGCCCTGTATAAAGATAGCCAGTCAACCAGGAGGAGTTAGATTCCAGACCTCTTAACTCCTCGTCAAGCCTCTGTCGCTCAGGCACCCTCTCTCCTGATGACTCAGGAGAGCCAAATGAGGCACTTGGTTGCTAAAGCCTTCCTTGCACCTCCCAGAAACCAGGGAAGGACACAAACAGAACACAAGTTAAGAAGGTGAATCAAACTAGCGCACTCAAATTATTGTAATTAAGGTGCTCTAGTAATGTTTTGGCTCCTAAAGATTCGGAATAAAAAAGACAGAGAAGGACGAAAAAAATGTAAGGAAATTACCAATGTATAGGAACACTTAAAAGTCAGAGATATTTTCAAATAACTTCTACAAGTAAGCAAAAATTGAGAAACTATAAGTAGCAGAGAGGGAAGACATAACTTAGAGATATATTAAGTATTATTTGAGGGTTAACTGAAGTTAAGTCAGACTTTTGTTTTTATTTCTTAATAAGGTGTGTTACATTCCTTTCAAGATAATATGAGAGGGCTTGAAATAAAGTCTACAAAAACCATATTGTTGTTGTTGCTGCTGGGTGCCATCCAGTCGATTCCGACTCATAGTGAACCCATGTGACTGAGTAGAACTGCCTCATAGGTTTTCCTAGGCTGTAATCTTTACAGAAGCACACGTCAGGTCTTTCTCCCGAGAAGCCACTGGGTGGGTTGCAACTGTCAAACTTTCAGTTAGCAGCTGAGTGCCTAACCTTTGTGCCACCAGAGTTCCTTACATAAATCAAACGGTCTTTAAACACTGCCTGAGTTCAAACTCAATCCTGCCACTTACTAGCTATGTGATTTAACCTCTCATTGTTTCGAGTTTACCCATCAAGTTACCTGTGGAAGCAATGACGGCACGAGTCTCAAAGGGCAGTTACCTCATTTAAGAGATAATTCATCTGAAGTCTCTGGAACAGTACCTGGCCCATAATGAACATATTATGTAGATGATTATTTTTGCTAGAGGAACTGAATAATATAATTAACATAGATTTTGAAAATATATTGACATATATGTACATACATATGTAATATAAACATTTGGAAGAATTAAAAGAATTGATCATCTCTTGGGGCATTAAGAGCTTTCAATAGATCCTAAAAAGTACAAAATATAGAATCTATATTCTGTGGTTACAGTACAATAAGTAACCGATACTTTTTCTTTTTTTTTTAAATCTAACCACTGGGAAAATTTAAACATTTCCTTCTACCCCTCACCCAACCCACCATCACTGAATAAGGTATCTTGTTTTATTGGGGTGGGGGGTGTTGTGTGTGGTATATATATGTAATAAAACATTTGCCATTTCAACATTTGATTGTTTTTGGTGTTGTTTTCCCTGCTATAAATACACGAGGAATTTTCTCATTTTCTTTTTAAAGATAGATGTTGTTGTTTAGTGCTGTCTAGATGATTCTGACTCATTAAGATAGATAAATCCATTGCTGTCGAGTCGATTTCGACTCATAGCAACCATGTAGGACAGAGTAGAACCACCCCATAGGGTTTCCAAGGAGTGGCTGGTGGATTCCAACGGCTGACCTTTTGGTTAGTAGCCAATCCCTTAACCACTGCACCACGAAGGCTCAATAGTTGGTCTTAAAATTCTTGAGTTCTAGATTCCTTTGCTCTAGAGAGGAGCTAACTTCGTTTTGTGAGATGCATGAGGGGAAATACGTTTTGTTCTCAGGGTAAGAGAAGAATGTGGCCCTTCCCAGGGAGGTTGCTGGATCCCAAGAGACCAAGGGCTTGGGGCCTCTGCAGGTGGAGGGTCTTGGCTCGGTCTGGCTCCTTGGCCACCAATAAAGAACTAAGCACCATGGCTTCTGAAGCCTCAGCAAAGATCCTTGAAGCCAAATTTGATGTTGAGATTGTGGAAGCCACCATTAGAGGCTGCCTCCTAAAAAAATACTGTTGTAGAACTCTTTCTGAAAGTGTGTGACCCACACACTCCCTCTCTCTTCTTCACTTATCATCCCTCAGGATCAGAAACAAAAA